TTCAGCCCTGGACCCACTGATTAGTGCCACCCATCCTGCCCTGCATTGACGTTTTTTCAGGTTGGCCTTTTGTGAAGCAGTTGCACTGGACAGAAAGGCTATGGAAATCCCTCAGGCCCATTCTGTCTCAGTGATTAGGAGAAAAATGACTTATCCCTTGCTTCTTACTACACATAAATGGAACACTAGCTGTAATTCCTGGGTCTTTGGATGTTATGGTTATTCCAGGTTTGACTTATATCTGGAAGACCTGTGGATGTTAGTTGTTATAGGAATGATTTCGCTGACATGGCACTGTAGGATAAGCACTGGACTGCTAGCCACAGAAGTCGGTGGTTCAAACCCCCCAGCCACTCCTTGGAAACCTTATACAGGGTTGCTGTGAGTCAGAATCGACTTGATAGCATTTAACAACAACAATTTGGAATCCTATTGTGGTGCTGTAGAATGAGCACTGGACTGCTAATAGTAAAGTTGGCAGTTCAAACCCACTAGGTACTCTTTGGAAACCTTATACAGAGTTGCTATGAGGTACAACTGACTTGACAGCACTTAACAACAGTGGTTTCTTTAACACTATGATCCCAAGTCATTCTGTTTCTCTCAGGTATCAAGTTCCCTGATAACAGGAAGCAATTATTTAGTTACACTTGGGTGGAATGGCCTGAGGGGGTAGTTTTTCAAGAGATTGCAAATGGCCCAGAGTTATTTCAGTCTGGATAATTTCTGTGACTTTCTTTTCATGTTTCATTGACTCTCTGTCACCTCTATTCTGTTCTTAAGACCTTTCAGTAAAATTTTAATTTCAGATACTGGGTTTCTGTTCTAATATTACATTTGGTTCTTTTTTATTTTTTATCTCTTTGCTGAGATTTAGGATTTCTTCATCCTTCATTGTTATATTTCATTGAGTTTAGTTATAATAGCTGTGTTTTGCCCTTTTCTGGTAATTCTAACATCTGGGTCATCTTGGAGTTGTCATCTGCTAATTGCCTTTTTCCTTGAAAGTTAGGTTCTTTGTATAATTTGGGATAATATCCTGAACATTGTGAATGGTATACTATGGAGATTCTGGATTCTGTTGATGTTTATGTTTTAATAGGCAATAAACTCAGGCTCAAACTGTAAACTTAGTCTCACCTGCAGTGGGTAGTAGTTTAAATCTCAGTTCATGTCTGTGTTCTTAGCTGAGGCCTTTGGATTCTGTCCTTTATATGCATGGACTTGGGCAGAGTTTACACATAGAACCTGGGACATTCTTCCTCTGAGCTGTCTTCTGGTTCCTCAGGACAGAAAGTCTTAGGTTTTGTTTTTAATGGAAACTTCAGCTGGACCACTCTCAGGTCAAAAGCACCCAAAATGGTTAATTCATTCCATACTGATCCTGTGTTCTAATTTTAGACTTCTCCCCAAATCTACCAGCCTTTGTTCAGTTCAGATAGTTACTTTCTCTATTTTATCCATTTATTGTTATCTGTGGGAAGATCATACTAGAGGCAGAATATCCTACTAGTATTTTTATCCAATCCAAACTCTATCAAAGTGTTTTGGGAACAAAAGTGGGGCCTATGGAAGAGAGCTAAGTCTTAGCATTTCCTCAGTGCAGTTTGTTAATTTTATTTCAAATGAGCTTCACCAAGTTCACAATAACTTGCTTTTTAGCTTTGAGCAGCTGTCTTCTCTCTGCGACTCAATTCTTTGGAAAATGAGTCTGTACTCTTGTTGATCTGTAAGGAACCTTTCATCTCTGCTTCTATACAGACACATACACATAACACTACCAGACACACACACCCCACCACCAAATAACAATAGCAACAACAAGAAGCACCAGGAGCAATGCCTAAGGGAAGTGATGTGGGCAGCTATCAGAATGGAAATCTATCTGAAGGACAACACTGAAGTTTGAGAATTCTTAGTCATTCTCATGTTTCTAGGGACTAGTAACCGGTTTCCCTGGAGTTGATTCTGACTTTTGGCAATCCTGTATGTGTCAGAAGAAAAATGTGGCATCAGGATTGAAGGAAGACTCATTAACAACCTGCAATATGCAGATGATACTACCTGGCTTGCTGAAAGCTAAGAGGACTTAAAATACTTGGCTGATGAAGATCAAAGACCACAGCCTTGGGTATGGGTTGTACCTCAGTGTAAAGAAAATGTAAGTCCTCACAACTGGACCAATAAATAACATCCATCTACGTGGGAGAAAAGACTGAAGTTGTCAAAGACTCCATTAAGCAGCAGTCAAGAAATCAAATGACGTATTGCATCAGACAAATCTGCTGCACAATACCTTTTAAAAGTATTGAGGAACAAAGATGTCAGTTTGAGGACTGAGGTGCACCTGACCCAAGCCATGATATTTTCAGTAACCTCATATGCATGTGAAAGTTGGACAGCAAATAAGGAAGATCGTAGAAGAATTGATGCATTTGAGTTATGATATTTTAGGAGAATACTGAAGTACCGTGGACTGCCAAAAGAACAAACCACCTGTATTGGAAGAAGGTATAGCCAGAATGCTTCTTGGAAGCCAGGATGGCCAGACTTCGTCTTTCATACTTCAGACATGTTGTTAGGAGGGACCAGTCTCTGGAGAAGGATACCATGTTTGATAATGTGGAGGGTGGGAGTAAAAGAGGAAGATCACCAATGAGATAGATTGGCACAGTGGTAGAAGCGATAGACTCAGGTGTCGTAATGATGGGGAGGATGACCCAGGACTGGGCAGTGTTTTGTTCTGTAGTGCATAAGGTTGCTATGAGTTGGAACCGACTCAATGGTATCTAACAACAACAAATGTGTGTCAGAGTAGAACCAATACTTCATAGGGTCTTCAGTGGCTCCTTTTTCACTAGAATACCTTTCTTCCAGGCACCTTTGAGTGGACTTGAACTTTCAACATTTTGGTTAGTAGTCAAGCATGTGTTAAGCATGTGCTATCACTCAGGGACAGCCTTTCTAGTGACTGCAGGCTAGTACCATCGAGATGCATGAAGTGAATGGCACTCATAAGCAAAGAAATCATTGCTGTTTGCTTCTACCCCGTAGGAATAACGAGGGAATACAGGCAGTTGAAAACAAACCAGGATCATCTGGAGTTCCTGTTTGTTTCACTTTGGCAATGCATTCCATCCTGTTTTGAAGAGAAAAACCCTACAGGCCTTAGCAACATGTCAGCAACTTTGACAGAAGGTGGTAGATGTTGGGGCAGTAGCTTTCAGCAAAGGTGCTGTTGTCACTGCTACGGTTGCAGAGAACTTAGTGGAGATAGACCAGATTTATGTTGTCATTTATTAGAGTTCCAAATAGTTGTTATTGTTGTTGTTAAGTGCTGTTGAGCTGGTTCTGACTCATAGTGACCCTGTATCAGGTTTCCAGGGGCAGCTGATTGGTTTGAACTTTGCTGATCTTGTAGTTTGAACTGTGTGGTCCAAACTGTCCTTGTGGTCCAAACTGTCCTTGTGGTCCAGTGCTGTGTCCCACAATGCCACACCAGGACTCCACTTCTCCAGAATTTTTATATAGGAACGGTTCTGAATTATGCAGAAGAAGGTGTGTGTTCTGGGAGGGTGGGAGAAGAGGGAGAAAGAGACCAGGTGATGCAAGGGGGCAGGATAGGCAGTCTGTAAGCCTGTTCAGGAATCTGTTTAGTACCACACTGATTTGAAGATAGATTATTTTTGGATCTTGTCTATAATACAGGTCCTTCATTTTACTTACAGTGGAGCTGTTTCCATTGCTTGTCAGTAATTCTTTTCTCTTCAGGTATTGGCTTGAGACTTCCATCTTCTTTTGAGCCATTTTTTAAAAAATAGAAGCTAGATGCAGCCATGGATTTTATATGTATACATAAAATTTGTGTCTTTGTGTGCTTTGGAGTTGTTGCTGGAAATTTAGAAATCTGTTTCAATGGACCAACAACCTTGGACGGAATTACAAGGTAGTCTTAGAGAATGCTTTAATGGTGAATGGGCAGTTGTGATGAAAAGAGAGAGGATAATTTGAGTATAAGACCATATAGTAAAACTTTAGATTTACCACTAGCTTGAAGGTACCTTTCCATTCTTTCTTAACTAGGATATACAGGAAGTTTGACTCAGGTTTTCTACCTTCAATAACCCTTCTTGAGAGTCTCTTAAGTTTTAGATGTAACATTCAATGAGCTGGTAGGTTTTTCAGCTCTCCTGTAGAAAGGCTGCTTATTTAAACAAAAAAACAAGGGTAAGTTTAGAGAGAGAAGACCCTATTTTTCAGAGTAATGGATATTGAGTAGTTCAGGAGTCCTTTGAGGACCAACTCTAAGAGGTAACCAACTGAGAGTCAGTGTGTTGAAGGGTCATTTTTGTAGTCAGACAGACTAACTAATCCTGACTGCCACTCACTAACAAGCTGTAAGACCTTGGATAAGTCACTTTACTTCTTGAACTTGACATTATTTATCTGTAATATAGAGGAAACATTATGTTACGTCTTATATAAAACATAAAACATAATATTGCTTGGGGATGTGGTATATTGCTTAGGGATGTGGTAGATAATACACAGATTTTTGTTTTTCCTTACCCATCTTCCAAGAGCATTTTATTTTTAGTAGAATCCTGGCTTTACCCCTCACTAATTGTGTGACTCACCCTTTCCAAGCTTCAGTTTCCGTCTTTAAAACAAAGGCATTTAACTAGTTGATTTCCGAGATGCTTTTCAACTATATTATATAGATGTTCAGACTACTGGGGAATATACCAGCGTGTTCATTTAAAGAAAGACAATATGGTTTTTCTTGGGACCATATCATCTGATAGGGAAGGGGAAGAAGTCTCCTGAGAGCTAAACTCTTTTTCCTCTTTCTGAGAGAGACATAGCCAACTTCCTTCAGAATCAGGATCTGGACTGAGATTCTCTCTTGTTTTCTTTCTGACTCTGTACTGTATATGAAGTCTACTGTATATGACTGTCTAGGTGTAATTAACATTTTGCCTCTCTTTTTCTATTCTACCCAGGTCAAGAGGCAGCTGCCTTTGAGAAGATAGTGACTATTTCCAAGACAGTAAACATTAAGAGAGCAGTCTGAAGTATTGATGGAAAGCTTAAGTTATCTAAATGGTAAGTGTTTTGCACAGTGAAACCTGGGCAAACTGATAGAATTGGATGGTTTCTGAGATCTCTACAATTCTTCCACCACTTAAAGGAAAGGAGAAAAATCAGTATTTGTAGATAACCTAATATGAGCCATATATGATGCTGAACACTTTACATGTTTCTTCATTTAGTCATTCCCACCAACCCAATAAGGAAGGGTAAAATTCCTTGCATGAATCCTTAAGAAGTAGGCCTAGCTAACATTTATTAAATACTTAATGTATACCAAGCATAGTCCCATCTGACTTACATACTCTTCCTTAATACTTACAGCAAACGGATGAGGTAAGTGCTATTACTGTTAATCACAAGGAAATGAGTTTGTTCTTACAGTTAGTTGTCTTTCACTAATAGCAACCCTGTGTACAACAGAACGAAACACTGCCCGATCTGCACCATCTTCACAGCCACTGTGTGAATCCATCTTGTAGGGGATATTCTATTTCTTTGCTGACCCTCTACTTTACCAAGCATGATGCCCTTTTCCAGGCACTGATCCCTTCTGACAACATGTCCAAAGTATGTGAGACAAAGTCTCACCATTCTTGCTTCTGAGGAGCACTCTGGCTATATTTCTTCTAAGACAGATTTGTTTGTTCTTTTGGAAGCCTATGATACTTTCAGTATTCTTTACCAACACCATAATCCAAATGCATGAGTTCTTTTCTGGCTTTCCTTATTCATTATTCTGTTTTTCATGCATATGAGGCAATTGAAAGTACCATGGTTTGGGTCAGGCGCACCTTAGTCCTCAGAGTGACAGCTTTACTCTTAGCACTTTGAAGAGGTCTTTTGCAGTAGATTTGTCTAGTGCAATACATTGTTTGATTTCTTGACTGCTGTTTCCAGGAGCATTGATGTTGGATCCGAGTAAAATGAAATCCTTGACAACTTCCATCTTTTCTTATTTTGTCATGATGTTGTTTATTGGTAGAGTTGTGAAGATTTTTTTTTTTTTCAAACATTAAACTTCCTGCCAGCAAGTGCTTCAAGTTCCCTTCACTTTCAGCAAGGTTGTTACATCTGCATATCTCAGGTTGTTGCTAGTGATCCTTCCTCCAATCTTGATGCCACATTCTTCATAGAGTCCAGCTTCTCAGATTATTTGCTCACTATACAGATTGATATACAGATTGGCCGACTGATTGGAAGAGATCAATGTTTATGCCCATTCCAAAGAGAGGTGACCCAACAGAATGCGGAAATCATCGGACAATCTCTTTGATAT